GTGTTCTTGGGGTTGTACTCATCCTTCTTCTTCCTCCAAACACGGCGAGTGGAGTTTGGACCAAAAAGCTCTATTTTTGTCTCATCAGACCACATGACCTTCTCCCATTCCTCCTCTGGATCATCCAGGTGGTCATTGGCAAACTTCAGACGGGCCTGGACATGCGCTGGCTTGAGCAGGGGGACCTTGCGTGCGCTGCAGGATTTTAATCCATGACGGCGTAGTGTGTTACTAATGGTTTTCTTTGAGACTGTGGTCCCAGCTCTCTTGAGGTCATTGACCAGGTCCTGCCGTGTAGTTCTGGGCTGATCCCTCACCTTCCTCATGACCATTGATGCCCCACGAGGTGAGATCTTGCATGGAGCCCCAGACCGAGGGTGATTGACCGTCATCTTGAACTTCTTCCATATTCTAATAATTGCGCCAACAGTTGTTGCCTTCTCACCAAGCTGCTTGCCTATTGTCCTGTAGCCCATCCCAGCCTTGTGCAGGTCTACAATTTTATCCCTGATGTCCTTACACAGCTCTCTGGTCTTGGCCATTGTGGAGAGGTTGGAGTCTGTTTGATTGAGTGTGTGGACAGGTGTCTTTTATACAGGTAATGAGTTCAAACAGGTGCAGTTAATACAGGTAATGAGTGGAGAACAGGAGGGCTTCTTAAAGAAAAATGAACAGGTCTGTGAGAGCCGGAATTCTTACTGGTTGGTAGGTGATCAAATACTTATGTCATGCAATAAAATGCAAATTAATTACTTAAAAATCATACAATGTGATTTTCTGGTTTTTTGTTTTAGATTCCGTCTCTCACAGTTGAAGTGTACCTATGATAACAATTACAGACCTCTACATGCTTTGTGAGTAGGAAAACCTGCAAAATCGGCAGTGTATCAAATACTTGTTCTCCCCACTGTAAGTGAACCTTTATTTATTGTAATTAAAATGAGTTTGTAGTAGTTAAGTGTTGATTTAGATTACATACGTAGCTCAATCTTTATTTCAAATAATTATGGTGACTTCACAGCAATTGCTAGCTAGGTAGCTAGCTAATAAGATTTAGCTAGCTAGAAGGCTCAGCTAAATAAAAATCACCCTGGAAACAGCCACATCTCATAGTCACATCATGAGATTAGCAAATTAAAGAGGAATATAATAAAACATCTCCCCATTTAGATTATTTCTGGCGCAGCACAGATATGCCTTTATCCAGATGGTGTTTCCTAACAGACCTGCTAACTTTCTTTCTTGTTACTTTTAAGGTTTAGCCAACATGCAGTACCTCCAGCAGGCAAGAACAATTCCTCCACCAACTCAGGGACAAGCTCCTGATCTTTGTGTCTGGTACCTGTCACGGGCTACACTATTCACAGCCCTGTGTAATGTTCAATTTAATTAAATTGCTGGACTTTTTCAAACTTAATGTATTTGTATTGTTTTTAAAATGTACAAATAAAAGGAAATGCTTTAAACATGTCTTTCATGTTTATTTGTTTTAGCTGTTAGTGAATTCCCTAAGTGTTTATACATTTGTGTTTACATCATTAAGCCATTATGTATGTGTTATGAATGACCAAAGGTGTCTGACTTTATAGTAAGTACAGCGTCATATGATACATGGAATTTATGTACAGTACCAGTCAAAAGTTTGGACACACCTACTCATTCAAGGGTGTTTTGTTATTTTTACTATTTACTACATTGTAGAATAATAGTGAAGACATCAAAACTATGAAATAACACATATTGAATCATGTAGTAACCAAAAAAGTGTTAAACAAATTTCTTCAAAGCAGCCACCCTTTGCCTTGATGACAGCTTTGCACACTCTTGGCATTCTCTCAACCGGTTCATGAGGAATGCTTTTCCAACAGTCTTGAAGGAGTTCCCACATATGCTGAGCACTTGTTGGCTGCTTTTCCTTCACTCTGCTGTCCAACTCATCCCAAACCATCTCATTTGGGTTGAGGTTGGGTGATTGTTGAGGCCAGGTCAGCTGATGCAGCAATCCATCATTCTCCTTCTTGGTCAAATAGCCCTTACACAGCCTGGAGGTGTGTTTCGGGTCATTGTCCTGTTGAAAAACAAATGATCGTCCCACTAAGCCCAAACCAGATGGGATGGTGTAGCGCTGCAGAATGATGTGGTAACCATGCTGGTTAAGTGTGCCTTGAATTCTAAATAAATCACTGATAGTGTCACCAGCAAAGCACCCCCACACCAGCACACCTCCTCCTCCATGTTTCACGGTGGGAACCACACATGCGGAGATCATCCATTCACATTTTTACATTTTTGTCATTTAGCAGACGCTCTTATCCAGAGCGACTTACAGTTAGTGAGTGCATACTTTTTATTTTATTTTTATAATTTTGTATCTATTTTTTAAAATATTTTTTTATACACCTACTCTGTGTCTCACAAAGACGGCAGTTGGAACCAAAAATCTCAAATTTGGACTCATCAGACCAAAGGACAGATTTCCACCGGTCTAATGTCCATTGCTCGTGTTTCTTGGCCGAAGCAAGTCTCTTCTTATTATTGGTGTCCTTTAATAGTGGTTTCTTTGTAGCAATTCGACCATGGAGGCCTGATTCATGCAGTCTCCTCTGAACAGTTGATGTTGAGATATGTCTGTTTCTTGAACTCTGTGAGGTGCAATCTGAGGTGCAGTTAATTGCCGATTTCTGAGGCTGGTAACTCTAATGAACTTATCATGTGCAGCAGAGGTAACTCTGGGTCTTCCTTTCCTGTGGCGGTCCTCATGAGAGCCAGTTTTATCATAGTGCTTGATGGTTTTTGCGACTCCACTTGAAGAAACTTTCAAAGATCTTGACATTTTCCGGATTGACTCATTAAAATGCAAATCAATTTATAACATTTTTGACATGCGTTTTTCTGGATTTTTTTGTTGTTATTCTGTCTCTCACTGTTCAAATAAACCTACCATTAAAATTATAGACTGATCATGTCTGTCAGTGGGCAAACGTACAAAATCAGCAGGGGATCAAATACTTTTTTCCCTCACTGTATCTTCTGTATACCACCCCTACCTTGTCACAACACAACTGATTGGCTTAAACACATTAAGAAGGAAAGAAATTCCACAAATTAACTTTTAACAAGGCACACCTTTTAATTGAAATGCATGAAGCTGGTTGAGAGTCCCCTGTAGCTCAGTTGGTAAAGCATAGCGCTTGCAATGCCAGGGTTGTGGGTTCGTTTCCCACGGGGGGCCAGTATGAAAAATGTATGCACTCACTAACTGTTAGTCGCTCTGGATAAGAGCGTCTGCTAAATGACTAAAATGTAAATGTAAAAATTAGAGAATGCCAAGAGTGTGCAAAGCTGTCATCAAGGCAAAGGGTGGCTACTTTGATGAATCTCAAATATATTTTGATTTGTTTAACACTTTTTTGGTTACTACATGATTCCATATGTGTTATTTCATTGTTTTGATGTCTTCACTATTATTCTACAATGTAGAAAATAGTAAAAATAAAGAAAAACTCTGGAATGAATAGGTGTGTCCAAACTTTTGACTGGTACTGTATGTGTTATAAATTACCAAAGAGGTCTGACTTTAAAGTAAGTACAGTGTCATGTGATATAGTCTTTATGGATGTGTTATGAATGACTGAAAGTGTCTCACTTCAAAATAAGTATTACAGGACACTACATAAAGTGTCAATAAAAAGGAAGGACAGCCACAAAGTCATAATTATTGCCACAATTTATCTTCTTAAAATGTAATTTTAAACCTAACCTTAACTAATGAAGGCCAAGTTTGATGCGTTGGACCTTCCGAGCATTTGGGCAGAAGTGTCTGGGAACGAGATTAGGTGTAATGTGACTAACATGACTTCACTTTAGAGCAAGGGCCATCCTACAGCACAACATGTCACATGTTTATATCATATTTAACATAAGTGGGTTATGTCACATTTGATGTTGGTGATTATGTCACACAGTTATGCCACATTTATGAACCCTTTATAATGCATGACATACGGTTATAGATGCTTTGTAACACATTCATGTAGTGCTTAGGAAGGCATTATGAAGCCTTTATAAGCCGAACATCATTTAAAGCAGGACCGTTTTTTCACTCCGCAAGTAAGCCTACCTACCAATGAGAATGACATTGTTGTCAAATTTTATCCAGAGTAAAGCTATGAAGTGAATCGGGGGCTGAGCAACGCGTTCTTGTTAGGATAGACAGAGAAAGGTGCATTGAATTGGAACATTTCAGCATTGTAACAAGGTCAGATTTAAGGCAAATTCCCACACACAGAAATCTTTGGTCCCGCATTTGCCTGCATCTCAATACCTATTCAACAGTGCCCCCCGTTGGTCGATTAAATATTACACGGGAATCATTCAGACAGAATTTAGCTAGCTGGCTAACAGTACACAACTCAAACATAAACCCACGTGGATAACATCTTGGGCTGGTTGCTATTATAGTTAGTTTCTAAGGATCGTCGTTCATATAAATGTAAGTCATTAACGTACCTACTTAACTCTTTCGCCAAAAACAATACGCTACCGTGTTATATCCACCGTTGTTGTTGTTGGTTTGGTTTTTTGTTGCAAGCTAGCCACTATAGCTAACGTCAACTAGTAACATTAGCCGTGTAAGACAAGGCCTCGCTAAAGCCTGGTACGCGAGCTGTTTTTCTATTCGAGGGGGGGGAGAGTGAACGCCGGGGACTATTATTTGTACATGTCACAAAATAAATGGGTTTTATGTAACCTTTCTCGCCATAGGCAGGTGAGCCACCGTTTCTAAGGACTCTAAATACGCGTGCTGTTTCTGGTACCTGTAGGTCTACGTGTAACTAGAACGTGCAGCCTCATAGCAACATTATGTGTAGAGGTGTTTCATCCTTAGTCGATTTTAAACAATATCAACAATCACAAAGTAGGCTACCTAAATCCATTTCAGGCCACATATGCCTTAGCTCACTCGCTTACAACGTGTATGTTTCTTTTCACAGTCCACAATGTCCTCCGGGCACCAGAAAGCAACCATGAAGCGAAAGCAACATCAAGAAGTGGCTGTCACTGTGTCTAGCTTGGATAACAAGTCAAAAAAGACCAAAAGTATGTCAAAGAAAGCCCCTGACAGTAGTGATGAAGACTCCGAGCTGGAACAAAACTTTGCCTTACTCAGTAAAAGGAGCTCCTCAGGTATCAGCGAGGAAGACCAGGAAGAGTCTGGACGAGAGGAAGAGGAGGACAGTTTGAGTGGTGGAGAAGCTCTTGAGGATGACAGTGACGAAGAGGAGGCTAATGATGAAGATGATGCAGAGGTTGAAAATGTAGAGCGTGATGGTACTGCTGGTACTGGTGGTGATGATGATGAAGACCAGACAGGTTTGGGTAGTGACACTGAGGACTCCGAGGATGTCGAAGATGTCACAGAACAACCGGAAACGATAAACAGTGGTGAAATACAAACAAAAGACGACATTAAAAAAGGTAAATCGTAAGCACAGTTTCATTCACTGCAGTTGATCTCCCAGGAACAAATGTTAGGTCTACAGGATAGTTTGGTGTGTTCTCCATCTCATTTACGAAGAACAAATCCTATAGCCATACTGAACTATAACTATACAATTTGTAACCAAATGGAAATTGTCTGCATTTGTAATTTAAACATAAGGTTGTAAAATATTATCTACTAGTGAAACGTCATGTATTCTAAGCGAGCCAGCGAATCCTTCATTGTTCTTTATCATTTTTACAGAGCTTTCAACAATGTCTTTTGAGGACATTCTGGAGCTTCAAAACAAGGTGGGGACAAAGGTCTATAATGAAATAGCCTACGGAACAACCAAGGTAAAACAAACACCCACGAAGAAACGCCTCAACAAGAATAGGTAATGTCCAATTGTCTGTTCACCTTCATGCATTAGAATAAGGGCCATTCCAATAGCTCAGTTGGTTGGAGCATGGATGGCGCTCTCAATACCAGTGTTATGGGTTTTTGATTCCTATGTGAACCACATTGTATGTGTTACACTCAATACATACATTCAGTATCGGTAAGTTGTTTTGGAGAAAAGCTGTTATTTCAGCACTGTGGGGATGGTATATGTATTTAAACTCCTAAAAATGATTTCTCAAACATTGTATTTTGTTTTAAGGCCCATGGAGATATCAGCCAAGAGGCCCGTCCCTTTTCTCAGACAAGTAGTTCCTGTCAAGAAAACAGTAAGGCACTTCTGAAGTCTTTTGTAGACTGACATCATCTCCAAAATGTTGCTGTTGACCTCTCAACCCATCTTGTTGCATGCTGTAATTGTCTGTCACGTTTTTTCCCCCCCAGGTGTCAAGAGATCCTCGATTTGACGATCTGTCTGGTGAATACAAACCGGAGATCTTTGAGAAAACCTACAGATTCATCAACGACATCAAACAGCGCGAGAGAGATGTGTGAAAACGATAAAGTCTAATCAGTCCATATTTGTCTAGTCCATATCAGTCCGTTTTTCATTATTAGACAACATTCATTTAATAGGACTTGTTCTGCATATCTTTTGTACATCATGGTCCTGTTTGTCCTCAAGATTTTTACATTTGACTATCACTGATTTTAATTGTGTCCATTCTTTGTGGTGTGTGTGTATATATAGGTAGTGCAGAAGAAGCTCAAGAAACCATTAAAGAGCAACCAGAAGAAGGAGAAACTTCAGTTCCTGTTGAAAAGAATGGTGAGTTAACTGCTGAACACACACACACCCATGCAAAGTAGTTTTAGAATGAGGACTGCTTTTTCTTAGAACTCACCTGATTCCTTCTCATATTCAGGAGAACCAGGAGCGGGCCCGGAAGAGCCGGGAACAGCAGCGTGAGAAGGAGCTAGAGTTCAAGAGGAAACAGAGAGAGATGGCGGGCCAGGGACTGAAGCCTTTCTTCCTCAAGAAATGTAAGTGTATTACCAGTCGGGGTGTAAAGCATGACATTCTATTCTATAGTCTATTTATTCTATTCTGAAGGCTATTTATTCTGCTCTATAGACATTATTTTTCTATGTTGTAAAGCTCTTAACTTCAGATATGATACAGTTCTATAGTCAAGGCAACAACAATGCAATATTGTTGAACCCCTCTCTGAATTTGTCACTGGACTATAATACAATGCCGTACCCTGTTTGGTTGGGTGGGGAATCTCTCATGTTTTTTTCACATTGTGATTCAGACATATTACAATGGAATAAGAGACTGTATCACTGTCCAAACGTCATCTTCATTGACTACAAGACACTTGTTGTAGAAATGCCATTACGGTGAAAGTGCAGATAGGATACTCAAAGCCTTACTCTGCTCTCTTAACCCTCTCACAGCCGACAAGAAGAAGCTGGAGCTGGCGGAGAAGTACAGCGAACTGAAGAAGAGCGGCAAGCTGGAAAACTTCCTCAGCAAGAAGAGGAAGAGGAATGCTGGCAAAGACCGTAGGAAGCTGCCTTTCCAGCAGAAGTGACCGTCCTGATTGGGACATTTTGGCTTCAAAAACTGGCCCAGGAGCAGTCTTGCTGTTTTGTTTGTCCTGATGATGATGGGACATTTTGGCCTCAGAAGCTGTCCCAGGAACAGTTTACACAGCTTTGTTTTTTACTAAGGGTCAATCAACCAAGGGCCACTCTTCTAACTTGAGATGCATGTGAGTAACTTGAACTTTGGTCTGAAATCCCATTAACAATGTATGATTTATGTGAGAGTCCAAGATGCTTGCGTGCATCTTAAGTTTGGACTGAGCCAATAAGGTTAGGAGAGGGCTGAAAGAGACTGAAGCTAAGCGAATGCGGACCTATCATGGCCATGGAGGTGTCACAGGGGAGGACTTAATCACAACTACGGTATATTATCTAGTACTTCATATCGTCTTCCCGGCGAGGAATTGCTGAAAGCACACTGTTGATTTTGTATGTTTTTATGAGGACTTCCAATGCAATTGCGTATGGTTTGTATGTATCATGTTATTTCATTGGAACATGCAGAAGGGTCATTTTTGTATTAAATATACGTCATTGCCAGTATCATGAGTGTCAATCCTCTCCTCAAACAAACCTAGCATCAATGTTAAGATTATTAATTGACAAACTTGGTTGGATGGCACTCAAGTGCACTCACATTGTCAAATCAATGTTTTCACCAATGTTGTGTCACAGAGGATCCCTTTTGTGTGTAGTTCAAGACTGTATCCTGACTAAAAACAGTTTTTGTTTAATCAATGGGTTTACTTGCAAGAAAATGGGAAAATGCATTAGATGGGTCATAGACATCTTTCAAATATATTTTGGGTACTCAACCACAATGCTAAACCATGTACTTCTCCCCTGTACACATTTGGCATTCCATTAGGTGCATGGAGCAGTTCGCAAAATGTATTTCCAAAGTGCCTCAGTGCTGGCCTATACTACTCGTGATTGATTTATCTGTTGTTAGGACACTCTCTAACCCTCAAGCACACTCACTAAGTATGGAATGCATTCGTCAATAGTGGAAAAATTGCAAGCATTTGTCCCAAAACATCATTGGTGCCACCACAGATACAATGTGAACATTTCTTGAATTTATATAGAATTTAGAGAGAGGTATCTCTACTGCCTTCGTCACTCTGCGCTGCTGAGGGTTGTAAAGCATCTCATAATCTCACCTACAGGTGCTAATGGGCCACATCCAAATGTTGCTGATCAGAATTCAGCAATCGGATTGGAGTATATGGGAATTTCAAAACTGAAAAATCTGAATCTGATCATTCTGATTGGGATTTGGTAATCCAATCTGACCTTTAATCGAGATTCAATGTTTTGTGCTTTGATGTCACATCTGGATGATCTTTATTCCACTGGAAAGGTGGATTCATGATGGATTTACAAATGTGAAAGGCACTACAACCAATACATTAATGTACCTAAGGTGGGGAGGTTTAAAACACCAAAGGTTCATTCTGTTAAATTGACTGCTGTGTAGGTATGTGGTGAGTTATAATATGCAGGCTCTATTATTCAATACTTTATTCCTTGTAGTTTACAGATCTCTGTTTCCCTATGACAGTGTAGAAGTAGTAACATGACGTGTCAGTAGATGGCAAGGTGTAGGCCTATTCAAAGCACTGAAAGTCAGTTATCTTGATATTGCGTTATCTGGATCAGATTGATCCAATCCTTTTCAGAAAAACTGTCTCAAAATCAGACAGATTGATTTGATCCTGGATTGCAAAATATGGGATTACAGAATCTGGATCGTTCTTTGACGGATTTAAAAAAAAATTAAACGGCCCTGGCCGATCTCTTCCACCCTCAACTGCTTTCTGACTTCTTCACAGACTGAACCAATTGGACCATTGGCGAGTGATTTTGAAATGAGGAGAATGTGCAGCAAGTCTGCAGAATGACTCCCTTATGTTGTGATTGGCACTGCTCTAGGACACTTGAGTTCAAATACTATTTGACATATCAAATTCTTCAGCTGTGCTTGATTGAGCTTGCCTGTTTTAATGGAACCAGTAATCCCAAAAGTGCGAACTCCAGGCAGGCTAAAGCTAACTCTCAAATCATTTGAAAGCTTTCATATTGTGTTAGTGAGTGAAACTGTTCCATGATTATGAGATTGAGAGATTAAGTGAAGATGTTCTAGTATATCCAAAAAAATATGGATGTATTGATGTTCTTTCTGCAGATGTCAGTTGTCACAGACTTGTTGCTGCTGGATAGTGAGGAGCTGACTGAAGAACAACTGGAAAGATCTCAGCCTGCATCCTGACCCTCCTGCAGGAAGCCAGCTGGAGAACGATGTCAGGCAGGACACAGTGGTGCAGAGCTACCGTGATGAGGGAACAGTAAAGATCACCTCGGACATCCTGGTAAACTTGAAGATTAACCAGAATTATATAGCTGAGAGATGTTACTTCTCAAGACTGGAAGTTTCAAGAATCTGTCTTTTGAATTTATTTTCAACTGCTGATTGCCTTCTATGTTATGTAGATGATCATGCAGTATAGACATTTTGAAGGCTCATAATAATGAATGGAATGGAGTGAATGGAATTGTATCAGGAATGGAAACCAGGGCCCGTATCCACAAAGCGTCTCCGAAAAGGTCCTAGGAATTCTGTTAATACCTGTTTTAAGACAACAAAAAACTCCCAGGTCAGAGTAGGTTTTAGGATGATGTTAAGACACTGCTCAGACAAACTCTGAGCCAGGAGTAAAATCAACATGTGCGGACCAACTGGCAAGTGTCTTCACTGACATTATCAACCTCTCCCTCACAGAGTATGTAATACCTACATGTTTCAAGCAGACCTCCATAGTCAGTGTGCCCAAGAAAGCGAAGGTAACCTGCCTAAATGACTACCTGCTTCCTGCCATCCAGGACCTAAATACTAGGCGGTGTCAGAGGAAGGCCCACAAATTGTCAAAGACTCCTGTCACCCAAGCAGTGGCGGTTTTACACGGAGGCCGGGGGAGGCCCGTGCCTCCCTGGAAATGTCCCTGGCCACCCCTGTGGCCCCCCCGTGCTGACCAAATAAAAAATTATGAATTTATAACTATTTTACACGCGAGCGCCAAAAGCGGAACTAATGCAACGCTCTACACGGCAACGTTCTACACGGGTAAATTAGAGTGGCGCACCCGAAGGTCGAAGGTAAGCAAAACGATTTAATATCATAAGTGACTTGTTGTTCTTGCACATAGCCTACATGTTCCTTTTGTTCCTCACACATAAATCAAATCAAGTTTTTAAATGTCTGGTCTCGATTTGTTTAGAAATGTAATCATATCTAAGCAAACTCATCGAAGCAGAAGCAAATATCCAAATGTTAGTAGGCTATCCTTGCTAGGTCTACACAATGTTGTGATGTTAACCACGTAACTTCATCCGTCTTGGCTGTTGCATCGCGATAACAAATACATTTTTAGTAAAGTAATCAACAGGTTATCTGCCAGTGTTAAGTAGGGAGGGATGGTTAGGTAACAAAATGTAATGCATGCCCCTACGTTTTTTCTTCTTCTAATAGTTATCATGAAACGAGGAAGGGACATAGTCATTTTTTGCCCCAGCAAACAAAAAAGTTAGATAGAGTTTATGATTTTATTCTTTTGAATTATCTCTGCCAAACATCTATGTACTACAAATCTTCAAGCTCCACAGATGTTTTATGGCATCCACTAAACCTCTTTAGATATTTGTAAATTATACAGTGTGATACCTTTCAACTAAAGTTTATTTTATTTTTTACCAACTATGATTTTTCCTTTTGAAAACAAGCAAAGCAAGAAAAAAAAGAAACAAAATCACTCCAATCATTGCACACTTGTGTCGTTCAGACTTTGCAGGTCCAGCTTTGACATGATGATCTAACTAACACTAATATTGTAACTAATATTGTAACTGAAATATGTATGATCCTATGATGAGCGATTGCTTACTTCCCTTTCACTCTTAAAAAATTACTGAAAAAAAATGTGTATAAAAAGGTATATGTAGTATATGTTTGTTTAGTGAGCATTCATGCTGTCATTTTTTCCTAATGTGAACTATGGTGGAAATGTGCTGTCCTAAATGGACTTGCCCATATATGTTGTAAAGCCTTTTTTTGTACACCTGCTCATCAACTGACAGTGAAGTACACAAAGACACAGACACACACACACACACACACACAGACACCTGTAATATTCTTGTTTTCATGTTGTTGCTGATATCCATCAGTGTTGTTCATATTGCTACATTGTGTTGACATGATTGTTGCTTTTAAACGAATGTTAACTTAATGTTTATTGTCTGCATCCTATTGGACTACTGGATGTTAATGTGTAACACGTTTCCCTGTTTATGTGCTTTAGCAATAATGTATGTCAATATGGTCATGCTAGTAAAGCCTCTTTGAATTGAATTTCTTTTCTGATTTGGTTTATTTTACCTAAATGGATACAGGGTAGTGTGTTTTGTTTATAAATCACTCAGAAAGTTTTCTTTCTTAAAACAAAATGTGGAATCAACTGTCCACAGTAGTGGGGCTTCCATAAATAGGAAATGGCACATTGTTGTACCCTTTGTTGTATCCTGGAGTTTTGTTCACATTGAATATGAACCCTGTATTTGTACCCTGTACTTTTTAATTTATTTTTATTTATTTATTTTTTCATTTTTATGGCACTATCTCTCTTGCATCTGCACTCTTGTACAAAATACGTGTTATAATAAATGTCATATGATTTTAAAGTAAAATAAAGTTTATAATCTTTGAATATCATGTGTTGCCAGTTTTTTTATGTGTGCCCCCCTGATTAAACACTGGCCCCTCCTTGGCCCCCCTAGTAAAATGTGTCTAGAACCGCCACTGCACCCAAGTCATAGACTGTTCTCTCCCAAGTCTAGGTCCAAAAGGCTCCTTAACAGCTTCTACCCCCAAGCCATATGACTGCTGAACAATTCATCAAATGGCCACCCGGACTATTTACATTGCCCCCCC